TCTTTGTGCTAAACATGTACACCTCTTCCTGTGTTTGGATCACCACTGGTGTTTGCTGAGACTGGGCATTTATTTCAAGAAGATAGCTCATTGCCATGAATCCCAAGAGAAGGAAAGCACCTTCAGCAAATGTGTTTGTTCATCCATCTAAGTAGGGCAAGGCAGACAGCTTTCTCCTTGGTGCTTCCAACCCAAGACAGCCAAGCTAGATCAAAGGGCAAGCTTTCTATAAGGTCCTCTGTGCTCACAGTTAGTTCTTGTAGCATGATAAAGCCTTGGATCACAGCTCCGGATAGCATCTGCTCCAAAGTCCTTACAAATACACCAAACATGGGAGCCAATAAAATGGTTTTGAGAAAACAAACAGTATGGTATGCATAAATAGAAAGGTTTCACAGTTTAAGGATGCCAAATATTCGAAGTAAAAATTACTGCAAAACTTACAGTTGAACTGCTTGTGTGGACATTGGTTTGCTTTCCCCCTTGTGCAAACAGAAATTGTGGATTAGAGTAGATCATCTAACTATGAAGCGTGCTGTGTATTTTCCGAAGTCTGAAATGTCTTGTAAGGGGAGTATGTAAAACACCACTCTGCTAATAAAACACCAAACTCCAAGTCTCATTAAAACCTCCTTTTCTCCAAACTATTTCTGACTTTTATAAGGAACAGTTCAAACAAGACACTGCAATTCAACAGCAATGTAGCCTCTGGGAACCCACAACATTGTTTGTACATGAAACAGTTGCTTTCATGTGACATACGGTGACCACCACCAGCAAAACAGCCTAGCTTGCTAACACTGCCTCATACAAATCCCTTTAACGCCACAGCAACTTAGATCTGACAGTAGTAGGAGAAACAGCTGAACTATGGCATCCTGATAGCACAGATGTGTATTTGGAGATGCTTCAAGTAAGTTGCGTGTCTATAGGGGGAGAGAGGCAGGAGGAATTAATTTAAGCACAGCATTAAAATTAATGCTCGTTTGATGTAATTGGTTAATTTTAAGCAGTAGGTAGCACAGTGTAGAAGATGTGCTTGGATTTTGGGGGACAAAAATATTAACAAAGTACTTTCTGTTAAACTGTTATTGAATCCACTCTTATTTTCAAGGTTAGCACCGCCAGTGAAGATAAAAGAAGTGCCTCTTAGCTCAAGTCTCAAGCTTTCAATCCACACAGGAAGTTTTTCATTTATCTTCCATACTTAGAATGTAAGATATTTTTACGCATAGACATTAAGAAACTCCAGAATTACATTCTGCTATAAAAAGCTGATTGCTGAGAGGTGCTCGAGGTGTGGAGTTGTTTCATTTTTCCTTTAAAAATATAATTCTGGAGTCCAGCCTTGGTGTGGGCAGTAATTTCAGCAACAAGTTCAAGGACACAGAAGAGAAAGAGCCATAACCTACTGTGGATACAGAAACGGACGTGGGAAAATAAGCAGCTTGCCCAATAGCTACTATGCCTATAAACCTTCAGTAGCAGGATTACAAAATCCTAGTCACTGACAGATTACGTTCCAGAAAGAAGCTTAAAAAAGAAATTGTCAGGTAATTCAATATTAGTTTATTAAATCAGCAATGTTTATCACCACTTTCTAAAAATGATTACAAAGCATATTAAAATATATTACAGTATCTGCAAAGAATTTATTGTGTAATAAAAGTGCAACGATAATGAACTTACAACTTTGTTTGCCTAGCTGGACAAACTGACGCACACTGCACAGATCAAGCCTCCCCTCAAAAATTAAGAGTGCCTTTGAAGTGAAAAATACATTATTTAACAGAAAATATTAAAAAAGCTGAGCACGCGAAGTAGAAAACAAAGTTAACGTTCATTCTGTCAGTGCTAAGTTACACATACCCATTAAACCATACACTTCAAACTCTGCTTGAATTCCAACAGTAAAGATCCACTGAAGTGAGTGCACATTGTAAAGGGAAGGAAATAAGAAGAAAAAGAGGGAACATTTCAAGTACTGGGGACAAACGGTGTTGAAAGTCAGGGACCAGATACTGCTGCTGTGAGACCATGTTCCACACAAACCCATAACACCTCCAACTAACAACTGGGACCTCACCCTGCCTTAAAAATCTCTGTAAACTCACCATTTTCAAGCATTACAGCTGTAAAGGCTGTCGCTGTCCTGAAGTGCGGTTATGAGTGGTAGCCCCACATGTGCTGTTCCAATCTACGATAAAATTCTAATTCATTCCTGTGGGAATAGAACTAGGGTTGGGTGTTAAAGCTGTTTTGGAATAGTTGGAAAAGAGGTAAAAGCAGCAGTTTATACTTTGGTTCATGGCAGCGGACTGCATCAGTGGAGACTGATTTCACAGCATGAATTACTGACAGTTTTGAATGGTCTTGCAGCAAATGTAATCAAAATCTTAGGCATAAAATGGCCAACAAACCCAATACCTTCGTCTTTCTTCAGCAGATCTTAGTATCAAACTAACACCAAGGTTACTTTGTGTAACTGCTGCTCCCAATAACAATGCAGCACAGTTTCATGACAGAAGGTAATCCCACTGACTTCTCACGCTCCTAACACACGGACTCACTGACTCCACAGAGCATTACCCAAACGGTTGCACGTGGCTGGTTTAACTAACTGAATGGGCTTGTAGGATGTGACAAGCCAGCACACCAGCAGGGGAAACAGAGTAGGCGTGTGGGTCTGTGAGGAGGTAGTGAGAAAAAGAGATGCCTTCCCTGAGCAACAGCAACCTACTGTATCGGTTTAGCTGTGCAAGGAACTGCTGTTTGAAAGTACACAATGAAACATACTTTATTCCTATCAATAAAGTACAATGCTAGTGCACATATCTAGAAATGCATTTATGCATGTCGCTCTGCATGCCAATCCTGAAACACTTCCTTTCCTCCAGATAAACAGAAAAAAATCCACCTCTACTCCTACTTAAGCTTCATGCATTCCCCTTCCAAATCCCACAGGAAGCAAAGCAAAGTATTTCAACCCCAGTGGACAAAAAATGTTAACTTATCAAAATGATGCATTTCAATTTGTCTCCCTGAAGCCCAAGCTAGCTTACTGTCATGAAGACTGAAAAAAGTTGTGTTCTCCGTTTTACTACCAATAAAGCCAGAAAAATAAAATCACTAAGAAACTATCCTGCTCCTCTCACTGAAGAATATTCCTACCAGCATGGGATCACATGGCTCCAGTGTATTTGGAGCATCACCCCTGGAAATTTCAGTTCCCACCATGCGTAGCATGGGTCCATCCCTGGAACCCGCTGCTGCTGAAGAGCCAGGTAAGGCAGACAGAGTTGGAAGATCAGCAACCTCCCAGATCCTCTCAGCTCTGCCCACACTACAATAGTCACAACACAGAAGCTTTGCTTTCTTTCTCCCAGTGGCTTTACTTACTAAGCTAGTCAGACTGGTCTTCAGTATATGAATTTATTACTGACTGCAGACACTAATCACAAACAAGCATACATTACTACTTCTGCAGCCTGTTTTACAATTCCTGCAGTGTTTACAGACTACTTTTTGTTCAATGAAAAATAAATTACATAGAAAAATCTCTGCAGATGTACAGTCACACAGGTAGACTCATGGTCAAGTTTCACAGCTCTACTGAAGTGCACGGACATGCACTAAGGCTAATATGGCTTCTAATTTTGGTCTAACATAAATAAAGCTGGTATGCTTGAATGATGAGAGAAAAACCGAAGAATTAAAAAAAAGGAAGCAAACCCTCAAGAACAGTTTCAACATGCCAGGATATCCTTGATACAGGCCTGGAAGTCTGGCAAGGTAAAGGTGTTCTTCTGTCATTACTTAAAATAGCTCCATTGTTTTCCCATAATAGAGCCCTGGCAAAGTTCATAGTAATTTCACATCAGAACAGAACAGATGCAAAAAGATAAGAGGTCCAGAAAGTATTAAACCTGACTGACAACCTACAAACGTACATTTTGAAGAAGCTTTCTCTTCTTAGGTCACCTACAAATCTGAACATGTAGGTGCGACTAAAATCTCAACTGGGAGACAATACCTAAATTACATCTCTCCCTTTCCCTACTGCAAGGATGCTAACATACTTTTTGGCTTGCTCTGTCTCAGAAGGCACTACTGCTACCACTTGCTGAGACTCAGACAAAAAGTGCTCAAAATTACAGTACCTTTGATGTGAAGGGTATTTCACACAACACATGGAATACAAGTCAATTCCTGCTCACATGCACAGAGCAAACTAACTGCCAAGTTTGATTTTAGAGAAGAACTGGCCCTCCCTGAAAGGCCCAAGTTCACAGGACCAAATATTTGTGTTCTTTTAAGGTACTGATAAAAATCAGTAGGAAGCCATTATGTTCATCATGGATTGTGTTGTTAGAAAAACTAATTAATTTACTAAGCATCCATTCCTTTCACAGATTGTTTTTGATAAAGGAGTAACATCGGGAGGGACCAGTCTATCATTTATTACAGTCAATGTAAGGATTCCTGTTAGCTTCCCTGTCTCACATCTGCCACCATAGGAATCAACTCTCCTTTCTCTGGTTGCCAGCTACATGTTAGCAAAAGAAAAAGTTAAAAACTTTTCTTAAAAATATAATATATTAAAAAATATAGAGATAACTGTAAAATTACATGTAAATAGAAATTAAATACCAGTGAAAATTTCCCAAGACAATGTGATGTGTTTTGATGAGGCTGACTTTGAGCAATGCACCTTCTGTTGTCACTTTGAACAATTCAGGAATTTATTGTCTGCAGAGCAGCTAAACTGAAACTTCAACAGAAACTCCAAGCCCAAGGAACAAAGGCTTTTCAGTTCTTCTAATCGTAATACTGCGCGTATAGTGCTCTTTAAAATCGAAGCAGAAGTTCTTCAGATAACAAGACACAATGATGACAGCTTGAAAGAATAATTTTAACATTTTACAGTTCCAGCTATAATCAATAAAGTTTAGAACATTTGCTTTTATTTTGACCACTTAAAAGACTCTTCTCTTTTTCTAACCCCTTATTAAATAAGAAAAAGAACAAAAATAACATTTCCTTTTATATCAGCCTTTTCTTAAACTATAGAGATGCTGACATTCACTCCATGCCTGAAGTCTCTTTTAGCACAGAAAATGTTCCTTGCATAGGCAGGTGAATTTAATATTTAGAGCTTCCTTGCACTATTAAAAATTATTTGGAGAAACTTGTGGTTGGTAAGTATTTAGATTGGGTGACGATCAGTGATTTTTATACATGGTCTTTTCTGCTTTATGTTTCTAGAGCCAGCAAGACATGGAAGCAGGACTACAGAAAACATTTTCACCTTAGGACAGATCTATACAAGGCACTTGTGATAAGCATGTCTGAGTGAAGGTCAGCAGGAACAGCTACATGAATGTTTTTCCTGCTACTGCGCTTCTAATTTCAGTAACTTGTGTGAAATGTGCTGTGAGGTTTAATGATCTAAGTCTAATTTCAAATTTTGGTGGTTTCAACATATTTGTTGAACGATTTCCAAACCCCTCATTCTTCTCCCTTTATTTGTCACTCTGCTGTCTGGAAAGGTTTCCTGTGAGATGGTGGCACCAAGTGGGAAGGTAGTGTGCCAGGCAGTTCATATCCATCCAGTTTAATCTTGATGAGATGTTTTGCTAATGCAAACTCTTCATCATCCAACATGCCATCACCATCACAGTCTGCAAGTTTCCAGATCTTCCCCAAGACACTGTTGGGCAGTTTTGAAGTCACCATCTCCTTCTTTGCACTAATCCCTGATATTTTGCCATTGATAGGTGACAGAGTGTAGAAAATCTCATCATAAGCAGGTTTATCTTTGGCAACAACCCATTCCTCTTCATCAGCTCCTTCCTTAGCACCTTCTCCATATCCATGGCCAAAAGGTCCTGCCATGGTGCCATCAAATGCTCCACCATGTACAATCTCTGTGGGCATATTGCTCTCTTCTTGTCTGATCAGGTTCATCAGGGAGGCAATTTTGTTGGCTAGCATGTTATCCACAGCTTCAATTAGCTTTGGTTTCAAAGAATGAAATTTAGTGAAGTCATAATTCTCCAGCAACTCCTGTAAATGACAAAGGTTTCAGTGACACTAGTTAGAAACATTTCCAATACATTGAAAACGCTAAAGAATGGGCTTCAGATTAAAATAATCTGTTATCTTCTGAAGCAGCTTCCATAACTGAAACTGCTCTTGAAGTTCTCAAAGCAAGGCTGACACATATGTACCATACACACCATATATTCAAACACATTAAGACAATTTTGCAACAGTGTATGAGCTTGTCTATTAAACAACATTTACAAAACAATTTTCAAAGTGGTAACGCATAAAATCATGGCAGTTGATGAATGTTATTGAACAACTTTCCATTTGGTGATTTTCTTCCAAATATCAAAGGAAACATGCAAAGAGGTCCTCAGTCCTGCTAGCACTTACGCAATGTTTGAAGTTCAAAATAAATGCAAGAGTTTAGAGGCCTGATCTGATTTTATAGATTAATCTTCTTGCTTGTGGTTAGGCCATGAAGAAGTGTCCTTTACCAATAAAGAAAAACTGAGTTGGGATAACAGCAGCAGTGTTTTCGTAGAAGTGTTGCCAGAACTCATTGAAGTCCTATGGTCCCTGCCAAGTTTTCACCTTGTACGTAACTCTAGTAACCTCAGTGAGATGTTTAACCAGGTGATATGTGCTATGCCAACACGAGCCCAAGCATGTTTTACACCAGAGCACTGGAAAATTAAAAATGCTTTAGGCAATTATTATATGATTTCTATGTGCAAAATGCTAATCAGGAAGAGACAGTTACAGTGGAAACAAAAACCCCAAATACGCACACCTACCCAAACCCCTCTCAAAATGGTGTTAACCTGCTTTAACGGATCCCATCTATTACCTCAAGGAGCTGCTCCCATACATATCAGAACTGTAATGGTACGAACCGAAGAAACCTGAAGCACAGGCAAGTGGCTTTGCTCACGCACACAGAACTTCTATCAACAACCATCACTCTGTTCAGGTGACATTTATACAAAATCATGTGATTTATGGCAACTGATCAGTACAAAATTACGATATGCAATACATCTTAGAAAGCAAAGGTCAAACCTGCTATCTGTCTTGGCACAATTTTGTTTTTGGTAATTCTGCTCTTCATTACAGAAGTGACTGATCTCTCGTGTATATATTTGCTGCCATCTGCTGCTGAGACTTAGTGACATGCACTATCAGTTTGATCAAGTTCCATTCAAATTTTGTTTCAGTATTGAAACTGACAAGTGACCCCCTCTCATTTTCTCATTTTGCATCACCAACAAAAGGGGTAAGGGAAGAAAGAGTCAACTTTTTTCATAGAACCCCCTTTAAAAGCTGAACTCATTAAACCCTTGAACATTCATGCCTGTGAAAACACAGATGAAATAGATATTGTGTTTCACCCATAATTTACTGTCTCATGTTAATACCCAATTCACAAATTACTTTAGTTCCTAAAAAACCCCACTCATGCATCACTATAGATTGGGTTATCAGCCAGTCATCACTCTCTGTGATTAGCAGTGTAAGCGTATCATGTAAGTTGTCAGAATGATATGCAAGTGTCAATCTGGAAAACATCCTCCATCACAGTCATTCAGCTTCCAAGCTGAATTATGTTCTAATTCAAAGGACATTTAAGAAGTTTATGATCTGCTATCCAAAAGTTGCAAACTGAGGTTTGTGAAATAAATTGAAAACCATTGCTAACACAACATTAGCTGTACTTCCCTAGAGTGCTCTCTATAAACAACTCGCCTCAAATCAGAGGACAGAAATAAAAAGGTGAGAAAGTGACAGGAAGTTGGTAGTAAGATTGCATACAGTTCAAAAGAGAAACAAGAGGCAAAAGTGACAGTATAAATTGAGAATATTCCTCCCACTTCACAGAATACAAGCTCAAAAGGACAGGATAAAACTGAAAGGCACCATTTTCAGAAGAGATAGGTTGCAAGTTGTAATTTTCGAGTAACGCATTGCCTTTGTTACTAGCAATTAGCATCAGTATGAACAAGAACAGAGTAGGGTAAAAATGAGTAATATGTGACTAAGGATATTCTCACCTACACAAGTACATGATAGCATTACAGAAGCAATGAAAGAAAAAAAAGAACCAGCTTAACACATAACTGTCCACTGCCATTGCATTTGCACAAAACCTTTAGTACTACTTGCCATGAGAGATCAAGTATTTACTAAGAGGACAGAGGACTTTACTCTTATGGCAATTGCTAAAGTCCTGTATCAGTGAATGCACACTACGCAAGTGACCAGGTTTTTCTGTTTGTATACTGCTTTCAAGTCATGCTAACCCCATAACAGACACATGATCGATTGTCACTTCAGCTGCTCTGTTGTGAAGATCCTAAACTATAATGCTGAGATACCCTGTCCTACCTTTTCTAATTTGGCAGTCCTGGCAGAAATTTAGTACTGTTTCAGTGAAACTGTAATCTATAATCTTACCTGCATTTTCTTGACTTCAGGGAAGTCTCCTGCTGAGATATGGTATTCCCTTTGCAGCTGGATGTAGATCTCTGGTAATCTGCTGATCAGTTCCTTCTTCTTGTTCTCTTTTCCAAATACAGAAGGCATTTCTTTTTTCAGATAGCTGATGATATAAGCATGAACCTAAGAAGAAGCAAAACTGAAATCAAGACTGCTGTTCATCTACACTTAATGTTCTTCACCCTGGTTATAAAAAGAAAGTTTCCATAAGCCAGCTCAAGGATAAGATAATATTAACGACTGTGTCTGGAACTTCACATTTACATGAACAGTTACCAACTGGCTTTTGCTGCTTTCAGAGTTCCTTTGAGGGCAGAGAGAAAGCAAACATATTTGAAAGAAATAAATGCACACTTACAGTGTAAGGAGAAGCAAGGTACAGCATTCCACCAGTACCAAGTGTGAAAGAAATAACAAAGCCCCAAAACCACATTCTTATGTGACATGTGTAGATCATACAGAACACTAGCCATACTGGTCCATCTGTCTCAGTGCTGATGACTTGTAACTCCATCTGCCTCACCAGTTATTGTGGGAAGAAATGGAATAATGCTTCAAGTAATCCAAGCATGCTAAGTGAAGGGCTATCTAACTGAAGTGACACTGCATTCCTATCTATTTATTTCAGAGAAGTACCTATAGTCTATATATATGCATCCACCAGAGGATGATAAAGCAGTCAGTATACTATAAGAACAGCATGCCATGGCTGCCTTGTGAAGCATTAGTGAGAAAAGCAGAGCCTTTCCAGCATAGAAAGACACTAATTTAAGATGACAAGCTCTAAAACACATTGACACTTGCAGAGCTCTTAAGAGTTTCCTATCTGCTGTGATCAAGTTAATCCAGCACTGCTATCAAAACATCCATCCTGCCCTTGCACACTTTTTCTACCCTTGCCCTAAACCATTCATCTCTCCCCCTTTACCGCCCTCCCACTACCTTTCACCACCAAAAAGATCTGCTTGGCCACACAGCAAGTGATCTGGTCCAATACAGACAGAGTGGTTGCACTTCTTAACCGAGGTGAGTTCATTTATTCAGTTTGTTGTATAGACACTGATATTCTATGCATGAAAGGGAAGTGCCAGGGCAGCCTGCTTTTACCAGCAATGCACAACTATCACGACTTAATGTCATCGAACTGCTTTCCTAAGCTCTGACCTGGACAGGACCACTGAAGTGAAATGATCTTCACAACAGGACAAATCTTTACAAAACTTGGGTCCTTCTTCATTAAAAAAAGGATGCAGCTGTTTCCAAAACAGAAGTTACTTGAATTTTCACACAGAAAAAATTAGAAAATTAGAAAACAAGTCTGTTGAACTGCTAAACAGTAAAAAGGCTGAAATTTTGAAGCCCAGGGGAAGACAGACTACCACAGAAAAAGAGCTGAAGGGATTACGTAGATGTGGTGGAAGTGTAATACTTAATCCCTATGAAAATAAGGCAGAAGGTGCCTTAAAATATTCTGCACAAATTTTACACAATCTGTACAGAGGTAATGCTCTCCCATTCCTTTCCTTACTTATTTAGGAGACTTACTTGAAAATGGAGGCAAAAAAGAAATCTCTGTTTTTAAAGAAAAATGATGTAACCAGTTTTTATTCACACAACTTTAACACAACATCACTTCCCTGTATCTAAAAAGAGTGTATGCATTTTAATCACACATACATTTATATTTCTACAGAGGAGAAAAAATAAACAGCATGAAGAAGCAAGGTTTCTGCATAAACCCATGAAATTTTCTGATAGGGTAGATATGAATATTCATTCAGAAAGAACTGATTCAGCAAATATCTGTCTAAGAGAGTTTATAAATAACTAAGTAATTTTATGGATCTTATGTTTAAAAAATACTTCTAGAAAAAACAGTAAAGTATATATACGTATATAGTTCACAAGAACCAAGAGCTTCTCATGTGTATGCTAAGTGGTCTAATGTCTGCCAGAAGGCACATGTGTTTCTTGTAGATAAGAACAGTTCCCCTCTTCAAAGTGGGATAGTGAGTCACAGGACTTAAAAAAAAATGCCCGAATTTGACAGCAAGTTAAGAGTTTGCTTTTGGTTTTCTGGTTACTGAATATGTTTTAGAAGAGATTAAGAACAGAGTGGCACAGAAATAGGTGAAAAAAAAAACCTGATACAATGCTGCAAGAAATGATTTTTGAGTGCCTGTATTTCAAGTTCAGCTGGAAGACAGAAAGACAACACCAGGAAGACTTCATTGCTGCTTTCCTGCAGATAAACAGTGTATTCCCCTTCCATAGCTGTCTAATTAGTGCGTCCTATGAACAGTGTATTTTGTATTCACCTTTATCCATTTTTATTTTACATTACAAAGAAACACCTAAAGAGGATCCATCTGACACTTTTCCACTTCAAAAATGACTGTAAAAATTGAAGGCAAAAAGCTGCCAACCGCATCCACAAAACTGACTGAGATCATAGCAACGTGTAACAAAATATCATCAGGAACACAATTTAAATGGAATTTTCAAAGAAGCAACTGCCTTTAGGAGTGTGCGCTAAAGCTCAGGCCACAAAAAAAAAACCCAAACCCAAAGCAAAACAACCTTTAATATCATGACATTCAGAGAGTTAATTAAGCCAACATAAGAGGTGGTATACTCCCTCAGATGACTATTCTTACATCAATGTAAATGCAAATCCTCTCCATTTTTGCTCAGAAGTCCACACTGCTCATTCAATTAATTTAGGGCTTATTATCTTTTCTTACCTTTGCGAGTCTTGCCCTCTTAATGAGATCATTGAGTTTGCGCACAGCAGCCTTCTGCGGGAGCCCCTGGATATCCTTGAAAAGATCCTGTGCCTCGGCTTCAAAGAGTCTTCGATTCTCTGTGTTTCGGAGAGGATTAGACCAGAAGGAGCCAATGTAGACTCGCAGCACCTCTGGAGTGTTGATCACCTTTCCCAGGGACCACATGAGTGCACCGTAGACCCTCATCAGCTGCTGCGTGTCCACTTGGTCAGCCTTATTAAGCACCACTCGAATCTTGTCATCCTGGCCCCGGAATGACTTAATAGCCTCCGAAAACTCATCGGATATATCCAGCTTATGGGCATCAAAAAGGAGAATGATGCGATCAACCCTCTCGGCAAACCACTGGAGGACTTGGCAGAAGTCATAGCCTGAAGGAAGAATATACTATTACAGTCCTGACACTCAGAAAAGGAGGTCTCGGAGAATGTAGGGCTGGGGATAGAGAGCAAGGGACTCACAGCATCACAGAGGGGGGGGGGAAAGGAGATGGTCCACCTGGAGGAGAGCATCTGTGGACAATGAGGTCAGGCCAGTTGTATGCTACATTTCCTTAGACCAGTCTCACTGCTACAGCCTTTTATTTTTATCATTGCCATTCCCTCAACATTGCCAGCCATCTCTTATGTCACTATCTTCTGTGCTGCTGTGAGTTACCATCTCATACCCATGTTTGCTTCTTCCCGGGAGTTCTGGCTCCAGCACAGCACACAAGCCATGCAGGTCTGTGGGGCTCTTATCAGAAGCTCTCTTTGTCAATGTTAATACTGACCACTTTGGTAGTATATGCCTAATACTGACACTTTGGTAGTATATGCCTATCATACTGACAAGGGAAACAGTGCAGGTGCAGCACTACAGAGTAAGTCAGCAACTGAAAATACTTGGATTTTCAAACCATTTCCAAACTCACCTCATTTTGCATTGCAACACTCGCTGTTATTTCTGCCACAGCAGACTCAGAGATAAAATTTACAAGTAATGTGCCTGTGCTGCTGATGGCTCTGGGGACGTGACAGATTACAGAGCCTGAGCAATGACCATTCTGATCACCCGAAACTTTTTGATGTTCTGAAGGAAAGCCTATTCTTAGCACCTGTCTGAATGCTTTTATAAGTGCAGCTGGTGCCTAATCCACACCACACACAGTATTCAGGAGCTGCTTATTCAGAAGTGACACATCTAATCTGCAGAGAGTCACCACTAGTGACATGGCATGGGGCTTGGCGTGGATGTGACTCAGCTTGTTTGAGTAAGGAACAGCACAGTATGAATTGGGAGCCAACATCCCACCCCTCCTCCTCCTCTTAGAAACAAACCAGAGCTAAAAGAGGGAGTAGTCAAAATGCAAGGACTGGTGTAAAGTAACCCAAACAGAATAAATGGTTTTGCTCCCGGCAGAATATGTTCAAATGCTAAGAGTAAAGGAAGCTCAGTTATCACCAGTGAGCCCTCCAGGGTGTCTTGGGTCATTTCCCAGCTGTGCAAGATAAGCTTTTAAACCTCCAATCCCCCAGCCAAGAAAACCCTCTTAGACTACTCATACATGAGCCAATTATTCAACACATATACACCTGGCCCAGATACAGAAGACTTCCTCACTCCTCATTCTCCCTAGCATCTTTTAAACAGTATATGTAAAGTATACATCCAGGCACACTGTAAAGTTGCTTAACTTTTCTTAAACAATTCAGTCATTATACCTTCAAGCTGTTAGCCTTTAACAGGGAACCCAGAAGCATCTCAGCACTTCTTTTGCTTTCCAGTAGAACCTGGCTAGGGCCAACAGCAAGAAAAGCAGACATACAGGAAAGCAGTAGGAAAACATGGTGAACTCCAGCTTTGTCATGGAGCATACTTGTATATGTTTAGCAACACAGGAAAGAACTCAGACTTAAATCTTATGTTTAAAAAACAGAAATAGAATATGAAATGAAACCCAAACATTTTGGTTAAAAGAAAATGTCCCCAGTTACCTGTCTTCCCTGACTCTCCTCCCCCCCCCCCCCCAAAAAAAAAAAGAAAAAAAGATAGCATAAAGCCTCACTAAAAATCCAGAACAAATATGTCAAACCAAAAGGAGAAGGCTATGTTAAAAAGGTATTATTATGATCCAAAAGGATGCAGGTCAGACTCATTAACTGTCTATACAAAAAAGAAAAGCCAACATCATCTTTTCCATTAAAAGGATTACTTTGTAAGGAATGCAAAACGTGGCCCCTTTCCAGATAATGCAGCTCTGATGCTTTGGTATGTTCTTTCCTGTGACCAGTTCCTGAAGGGGTGAAGGCAAGATGAAAGGTAGGGGCATGGAGGAAAGCTGCACAAAACGCAGCTGGAAGAGAACTCACTTAACAATAACAATCTAATCAAAACCAGCGTGAATAATTTACCTTCATGAAAATTCAGCGGGAAATGGAGAAGTGACACATCTTGTATGTCACTTGCATGTCACAGTATATTTGCAGCAGTGCATAAATCTGAGCTGTGCAATAACCTGTTCTGATTTCACTCACATAGAAGAAAATATGCTTGAAATAAAATACATAAAGTTGCAAAATGAAGTAAGTTTAATCCTGTGAAGTCTTCCACAAATTGATAGGTGAGAACGTGATTTATAAGGCTGGTTAAATAAATATTAATTCCCACCACACGTTTGATGGATTTTGAACTGTAAAAAAATAATTTTACAGTCAACAAGTGCATGTTAACTAGCAATAAATTTATTTTAAATATGAATTAAATATTAATGAAGCATTTGTTTTGAGAAAGAAAAGTTCACTTGTTGACAATGGATAAGAAACAGAGCTCATTAAACACAAAAAACCCTGAAAAAAATCTATTCATTTTAATGAAAATGTCATTAGAAGTGAACCTGGTTTATATACAAATTCAGTGGTTACACATTAAAGTATACCTGAACTACAGAGAAGTGATATATCATAGAATCACAGAATAGTTAGGGTTGGAAAGGACCTTAAGATCATCTAGTTCCAACCACCCTGCCATGGGCAGGGAAACCCCACACTAAACCATTCTACCCAAGGCTTCATCCAACCTGGCCTTGAACACTGCCAGGGATATCATTAAATATTTCAGCACTGAGACACAATGCATTTAGGATCCTGTCACATACAGTACCAGTGTGTGGATTAGGGCTTTCAAAGTTGAGCAGTACTAGGTCAACACTGATCAGTTTGGAAAACTTGACCAAAATAAACTGATGTTGATGTTTTTCAGCCTCTTGATGTTCTAACACGGCTGTTTCTTCAAAGGTTTGCTCCCAGTGACTGATGTCACAGCAATTATATCCAGCCTGAGGATCTGCGTCTCACCAGGTACAATATTAACTGGCAAAAGCACATTAGAAAGTCACAAGTCACCGTTGTACCCAGCTAAGGGACAGAGGAAAGCAGTGATCCACCAGCAGCACTGCAGAGCTATTGAGCTCGTCCCAGGCTGCACAGGGGGAGTTGAGCTGGTGCCTCTGACAGAGGCATAACTGTTGGGCATCAGTAACAGGCTGAGCAGAAACCAGAGAAGAATAAAATGAAACAATGCAGAAGAGATGACAAAGTTTGAGAGAAACTGCACATGGTTACCAGCCCTGGAAACACGGATAACAGGAATGATCATGAGCTCTCACGGGTCACCAGCACAGGGCAAAGTACCAGCCCCATGCATGACAGCCTTACTCAGAGACAAGAGCTGTACAACCACACAGGATGAGTGTGGGTCAATTTTCTGTGCCAGTTAGCAATAAAGATTTAAACAAACGGTAGGCTTCCCTTGGGGGCCCAAGGTAAACGATTCCTGCCTTGCCCTAATACCATCTCCCAAAGCTGTTGCAATGCAGTAAGCAATTAGGGAAGCTTGATGGGCTCCACCCATCCTGTCTGAGCACAGACAGTCTGAGCAGTGTCCAGTTCTTCCACCCCTGGGGCCAGCAGTACTGGCACAGCAGAAGAGAGGCGGCTCTCAGATGAACGCAGCCATGAGGAGCCTCCAACTTCAGAACAGTTACCAGATGAACCACGGGTGGGCAGAGCGATGGAGTGATCCCATCTGCCACTTCTGCCTAAATATCACACAACCAAGATTACAATTTAGATGTGGACAAATGCAGTCTTTCCCCCATGCCCAATTTGCTGTTCTTCTAAAGCTTTACCACAGGTGAGCACCTAAATTTCCCAGTCTTTCAAATAAGCTCAGTCCTACATAGGAAGATGCACTTTTTGCTGTCCAGGGTGGAAAATTCCAGATATGTTAATGAAAGCCTGTCTCAATCCAGTGCTCTTGGGTAACACTGTTAACTGCACTCCTGTTGGTGGACTAATCCTAAGGAGAATGCACAGTGCAAGAGAAGTCTCTCACTGCAAGGGAAAGCCTGACACAGTGCTGCAAATATACCCATCACCTTCATCCATGACTACATTTCCACAAGCCAGCTTGAACTGAGAAGATTACTTGTGTTTAAGTAATTCCAGTTCTAAAAATGTGAGCTAACCGAATTCTTTCATGTTCCTCTGAGCTCTTTCCCCATCCTTCTTGAACACCTTGTCTTCGTGCCACTCAATCATGAACCAAACCCCACCTCCCTTTCTAAAATCAGGTCCTCCCCACACCCTGCTAGACATTAATTCTCCTTCCTCCTCTCTTTACACTCATTGTTCCTTCCAAATCTTGCAGATAATATGAACATTTCTGCCTGACATGGCTTTGTGAACGTCACCCATGATGCTTCTGTAGCATCAGGGGTGACGTTCACTGGGATAAGCTTTGCCTGACTTCGGACAATGCTGGCACAGGTCTGCACATTCTCCTCCAGCCACTTACGCAGCCCCTGAACTGACAGGCAGGAAGCTTCTGGCACATCCTCCTGCCAACAACAGAAGCTGGAAAGGTGTGCCAAGAGACACAGTGTTGAATGTTGCACCCTGTGTATATTTTTGACCCTTCAGAAAGTGATCGGTTCCTTTATCCATGGCCTGGATGCTTTCCAGAGTTATAAATAAAACATGCTGGGAAACCGTGCCTATCCTGCATTTTTACATCATCCCTTTGCTGTTTTCCTGCTTTTTAAAATGGAAAGTTAACATTTGATTCCTTTCTTGGTTTCAGGAGACTTCACATTACTCCTAGTGATACCTGACAAATTCTATGATTATGCAAATGTTACATCCATTCATATGTAATTAGCTAAGCAATTACAAGATGATGAAAAAGACACCAACAGCAAAGAGTGAAGGTCTTACACTGAGGTTCTGTGATGTTATTCCATATTAAAACATCACCAGTAAGAAAAGTTGCTGTTCAGTAATGTTAGAAATAAACTAAACTTCTAGAAAGGTAATTAAAAAACTCAGATACGAACAGACACCAGTAACATGCAGAATAGAAACACTTACTCTAGGGTGTTATTAAATGCCATATTCCATGACTGAATTACAAAAAAAAAAAAAATCTCATTTTGTATTCCTGTATATATTATTTGGAAAACAGCAGAAAGATTAATAAGGAAAAAAAACAAAAACAAACAAAAAACCCAAAATCAGCCAAAACCCAAACAAAACCACAAGAGAGAAATAGAAATTAAAAGGTTAAAAAATTGAACTCTAAGATTCTGAAGCATAAAACTGTGAAACTGTTACAATTCTGAAAAATATTCTGAAGAATCTCTCTTCCAACTTAGAGCTTTCTTGGTGAGCACAGAAAAGCATCCTTATGTGTAAGTCTGTAATCACCTTCACAGTGAAAGGAAATGGCAGCTCCCATAATGAAGCAGCTCAGCTGCAGCCTTTTCCAGTGAGCAGCAGCCAGAGAATTTAAGGGGCAAGAACACACATTCTGTACCATGTGTGTAGGAAAAAAGCTTTGCTGGCCCTAAGGTGTACAAACAGAACCTTCTCTGACAGAGACACATTTAGGGGCAGCAGAAAACATCTTGTAGAATCCTGCTGACATTTGAACACAGTGATTTAAAGAGTAATCTAAGCAACTCAAACTTCAAAACATGCTAAATTAGACTTGTACCATAAATACATTGAAGTCAGCCTGACTCCTTCAGGAAGCAGGTCAAACAGGCCTTGCTACATGCAGCATCACAGAACGAGTTGAGTTTGTACTCCACAAAACCAACTGTGTGGAAACTGCGTAAGTAACCCAAAAGTCATGTACAGGAAATGCACCTGACTATGCAGTAGTTCAAACATGGGTGAGCACAGTATTGCCTAATCATAAAAGCATGCAATATGTGCATGCAATAGGTCCACACAGAAACTTGTAGGTACTCTAGGTATGCTGATGTCTAAGTATATGATGCTTTAAACCTTGCTAGCAGTTGCCCTGCAAAAGTGGGGCACAGAGAACCGTGCTCTAAAGCTAACCCGCCAAAACCTTATGTATGGTACAACCACACTGGTTAAAGCTAAACCACATTTGTAATAAAAGAACTGTGCCAAGTTACATATTTAAGACAACCCTTAGCATACTTAAATAATCGTGAAATCTAGTCAAGTTAATGCCTGTGAAACAGGTAAGAGTTTGAGGTTATTGCTGATGACTGTCAACTTAGGTGAAAGTCTAACATAACCAAAGGGCAGGCCAGCTAGGCCACAGAAACAATTGATAAGGCACACACAATCAAGAAACAGAGTTTCTGAACAATAAAGGAACAACAGTCATATGTTTTGTAACGCTTAAAAAGCAATTCTAGATGGCAGTGAAGAGCCACGGTCCTTTAAGCAATTACCAGTGAAACAATCCGGAGTGAAACACAACTCTGTTCCACACATGCAGTCTGGGACTTCCAAAGCAATCCCTAATAGTGTTCAATTTTGTCACACAACTGGTCACTTTTTCAGTGGCATATTAATATGATGCTCTAGTTTTCTGCTTATTTCTTGTCCACTTCCATGCTGCTATGAAAGTGGCAACAGATACCTGAATGCTGCCAAGCATCATTTTCCCTTGATTTAACAGAGAGGGAGAAAGATGTGCCTAATTTTTCTTGTTGGAGGAAAAAAGGGAGCTAGAATCCACAACAGACAAGCTCAAGTAGGAAACTTGAAACCATCTTTGATTCTACCAGACTTTCTGTGTAAACAGAGACTTGGACATTTTGTGGACATCTCATGAGAAGATTTTTCAGGATCATTAGTTATACACTTTGGTTATTTCCACCTAGAAATAAAAGTGACAGCATGCAGTATTTGTTTTATTTATCTGATTTCATTGTATTTAAGCCTTTGCTTGCTCAGATGTAGGCCACTCATTGCTGTTCGTTTTTGCTAATTTACTGATATATCACATAGGAAAACAGCTCTCTCCCCAAGATGAATGCTTTATGAATGATAAAAAGGACAAACCTCTTACATTCTATCACTGAACAAAGAATCCAGAAACATCTAGTAGACCAATTTACTAAGCAAGCATAGTTTAGATTGCAGTCCTAAGAATTTAGTCTCTTATTCTCTGAGTGCAATAGAAAGACAAGACTATGGTTGCATAGTTGAGATATATTGTACTTATTCCAGGATTTCCTAAAAAAAAAAATCCCAGGTGTGATATGTCAAAGAACTGATTATTTTCCCTTCTCACAGACATCAAACACACAAGTTTCCATTTCTTAAGCCAAGGTCTGAAAACAGAGGGCAGCATAAGCCACACACTGGATCACTGCCATTTACGACTCCACAGAAATCTGACATGCACTTAAATGCAGCTGAGGGAAACAAGGAAGAAAGTTATTTACATTATGCCTTTTTGTTTTAGTAGTTTCTCAGAAGAGGCTGATAGTTCACACAGCATGTTAAAAATGGGGTTCAGTTCTTTGCAGAATTCTTATTAAAAACATACTCATTCCCTCTTCTTGCTGCTACCTTAACACTTTCAAATGAAAATTTTATTACAGTATGACTGAGCAACCTTAAGAAGCAAGCTAGCAACTGTGCCTGCAATAAAAGCACCTTATTTATAGCCCAACCCCCCAGTTATTAAACATAACCAGCTTGAAGAGCTATAGGTATTATGAAACTTTCATAATTCATGAATTCTACATTCATGAACTTCAGTAGTACAGGAGTCTATTACTACTTTATGGAAAGCAATTTAAATGATGGAAATAAGGCTTTTTCTCAGAGTTTCAAAGCATTAATCAGTCAACAGAACATGCGGACATAGCCATTTGCAGCCACAGAAGCAGGATGACAGAAATCCCAACCCCTTCCGTTTTAAAGAGAAAAAAATCCAAATCCTACATCCAGCCTTAAATTTGGTTTAATAGGCTTTGTATAAGAAAGTCTGGGGCACAGCACACCTCAATACCACTAAAACAGGTCCTCGGCAGATGAGGATGTTATTTCCAGTCCCTGCAACTCACCTCTGCTGATGCGCTGCTTCTCTCCAGAGAGAATACCAGGGCTGTCAATGATACTGATGCTCTTCAGTACCTGGTTGGGTAACTGAGAACACATGAACCTGCAGGAAATGAGGAGGGAAAAAGAAAAATATATTAAGAACAGTTGGAGCCCATGTATAGATTGTCCCTTGAGAGCTCCCCTTTATGAAACTGCTTTTAGAAAGACTCAAGTGACATTAAAAAAAAGAAATCATTTCTGAAGTCCCAATGAACTCCTATGTTTGGCAACCGTGCATGTGTAAGAAAAAATGTAAATAGAGAGCTTTTCATAAGAGGAAACACAGGAAAACCTTGCAAAAACTATGGCTGCTGCTGACAGAATTCCAAATTTTGCAAGAGCTGATAACATTGGCCATATATGCAACATTAAAAGAAGACTCCACAAAACAAACATGACCAAAATGTTTGTATGACCAAAATTACTACTGGCAAAAAAGAATTCTTCATGTACTCCAACTTCTGCCCAAATTCAAAGAGATTCCAAAGAAAAAGGAAGGAGGCAGAAAGTCATACTAACAATATGGGCAGGGGGATTGAAACCAGATGATCTTTAAGGTCCTTTCCAACCCAAACCATTCTGTGATTCTACAAATATATTTATATTTCAGTCACTGGCAAGTCACCCTGTCACCTCCTCTGGCAGTATTTGAATGGTCCATCTTCCATCACCCTTCCTAAGGTGGAACTTGTGGAGGACTGAAAACAACACAGTTTCTCCCACTAACCTAGCCAAAGCTTTCACACTGCCAGAACCAAGAGTTCAGATTACATACAGCATGCTCTAAACAATAACCTCCTGCCTCTGTGGAGACAAATTCAATGGTGCTATTATGAAAAATAAATAATTCATGAGGCCTCCAAGAGTCAGGCAGAACACCGTGTGCATTAAATACAAGCTACTCTGATGCTTCTGGGGCGGTTGATTGAAGGACTTCACCTCCCTTCATCATAAACTGCCTTTAAGAGATTTGCATAAGAGTTTAATCTTCTTACCGGGCAGCAGCTGGAGACTGTACTAACAAGCACACAACGCAACCCACCCGCCTCCTGTGGAGCTGCCCATAGGCAGCCCAGCACAGGATCAAGTTGCAGGTGCAGGCTGTAAGAAGCCCTGGTTAACCCGTCGCTTTAGAAAGCACACTGCCTCAAGGGTTATCACAGACAGCAAACCTTAACTGTGCCAAAGTCAAGCGAGAACTTTAAGACCAAAGATAACCTGAGTTAGGCAGAATTCAGGCAAATATGAGGTACAAAATGTAAGAGACATCAGTTTGGAAGCTATTGTTGGACAGGTCACAATCCAGATGATTCAAAGGAAATCAGGAAGAAAAAAAATCCTTACACCTCGCTTCACCTTCTTTTTTGGGTGACCTTGTAGTCATGAGTCTGTAACAAAAGCACACAGCATCCCTCCTTGGGTACAACAGAAACAGCAGCATCAGCTACACCTCTCCCTGAAATTCAAGAGGGAATAAAGAAACAGCCATCTTGGCCTGAGAAAACCTTAGCGTGTGTAAACAGCACTAGCCTTTATGGTTTTTATTTCTCTTTTGGGTTTGGTTTGTTTATTTTTTTTAGTGAACAAAATTAAAAAGTAATTTTTAGGTTTTTATTTTGTTTAATTTTAGTGAACCACCAGGTATAGAAAGTACTATATATCTTAAGCAAACTCTTCCATTAAGGCTAATTTTCTACAAGCTTAAGGGATGCTTTTGAAAGAGCAGTGAGGTATTATTGAATAAAAGAACTTCCTTTTTAACTTTCCTAAACCTAAAGGAGACACTATGTTAAAGCAAACACATTTTATGGAGCCACAAAGAAAATACATTTGACTGTGTCAACCATTACAGAAAAATACATCACTACTATGTACAACATGAAGTAGCTTTCATAAATTTGGAAGTGTCAAGACTGAATTTTCATATATAAATATACATATATTTAATCACTTAATTTTACCCTAGAAGCCCAGCACTTGATTAGTATCACAGAGATGTTTCTAGACCTATCTTACAGGAAGATGGGCACCATTATTTCAGGTGAACAATACAGTAGTATTTTGATTTAGGCATTACCCAGAATGGAGCAGCTGGAAAAGGCTGCGCAACAAAACAGGGGACAACAGGCCTCAGAAATGTAAGGACACTGCAGACTTTGCAGCAGTCATTAGTGGCAAAGGGAGAAATAAAGTATATAGGAAAAGGTTATGAAATAGAAAGATAAACTCTGAATTAATTTTTAGAACATAACCATAATCCAAAGAAAATAGATGGGTTAAAAATCTTACATCAAATTATTTTAATTAATAATTATTAATATTCCAGACAAAATTGTGATGCTAGCTGCATTTGAATATGTCTTTTCAACATCAAGACTTGGCTCTGAACCATTACTTCATACATGACCTGTATGGTAAGTGCTGCATCATAAAAAGCAAACTGAATACTCTCTACCTAATGAAAAGAGATATTAATAAAAAAAAGCATTACAAATATAGTTGTGTGAATGAGATGACTGCAACTGCTTATGACACATCAGATCTTTGACACTGTCGTATCATAAAACTATTGCTAAAGAAAACCAGCATTATTAGATTATCCTTGCCAAAATGAGTTACATTGTTTGCAAAAATGAAATTAACAGGTTTGTAATCACCTGATGATTTTTTATTTTTTGGGTCCTTTGCATTAACTTTGGATGCCTTGAAGAATCCAGTAAGAACTTATACTCCTTTTTGCGTCCATTCAGGTATCTGTTAGAATAGCAGAGGACCACACATTTCTTCTCAGCAGCGTCAGTTTACTTCCTGATCATCTGGTATGCTGCAGTATTCTTTCCTCCCTTACTTTAACCTGCATGTAAGGGCACACTATGTCCTGTCTCCATCCCCTTCCCCCACAGCTTTACTTAAAAGCACACAGGAGAAATAAAGAGACAAATTTCTCCATTCAGGAGCCTTACAGTCTATCACAAGCAGTGAGACACAGGGGGAAGTAAGAAGGGGTCATGGAAAAAAGAGGTAACATAAATGAATTAACGCAGCTCATTAGTAAGTACCAGCTTTGATTGTGCTACTGTGTTCCTGTTTGGTTTTAGTTTCTCCATTACCTCAGCCGCTGTTTCCTTTCATGTTACATTTAGATAAGAAGGGCATTTAACTTCACAGCCTAAGTGTCCATATCCTTAAGGTCTTCCAGAAGGCAAAACACTAGGATTGGGAAATAGTTTTAAAAACAAAAGTAGGGGTAAAGGGGGTGGAGGGGGTGGGGGATGGTGTGTGTGTGTGTGTAGAGAAAAATCTACTAAAGACTGTAGTGAAAAATGTTAATATTGAGTATAAATGATTGTCAGCGTGGCAAGCGAGAGAAGGAAAAGTAAAATTATGATTGCAGGTAAGAACAGGGAGATGTTATTCAAAGATACTGAACTGAAGCATAAGACATTTTCACGTAGGTGAAGAAGGAAAGAGAAAAGAGTTGACAAGTCTTGAAAAATCAGCAATATGATCAGAGTGGCATACTGAGGGTGATACTAAAGGCACATAAGCACATAGATCTCCACTGCAAAGCTAAGGAACAAGTAGGACTATTGGAGAAGATAATGGTTGCCCACAGCACTGTGGTATAACAGTATCACGGTCACCAGAAGAACTGGAACAATTTAGTCAGTTACTTTGAATGTACATCTTTTTAGCGAACAAATAGATAATCTATGTTGCACAAGAGTCAGAACCTGACACAACGAGCTGGATAGATGATTTAGCCAAAAAAATTACGTGTCTACCATTCATCCAAACAAACACATAGCGTTATCAGATGTTCTGTGCAAATATTTGACTATTGTGCAAAATACTATGTACAGTATAATTATATTAATTTTTCATATAGAGCATAATGGTGGGGAAAGGAAGAAACAGAACAGTGATCTGGAGGACAGGACTTAGCTGATAATCTTACAGAAGGGGGCCTTGGACCACAAAGATATTATTTAAAATGGGAGTTGGCTGTAGCTTCCCACAGCACATATTCTTATCACTCTTCAAAGTGATAGCCAAGCCAACTATAAGCAGCTATGAACTTTCTTTTGTGAGTAAGCACAGCAAGAGATAAGGCCGTACATGACAAACTTTTAACATGTATGCCAGCATTTATCAGCCAAACAGGAAAGTTTATTGTTAAAAGAGAACCAATTTAGATTAGTTGGCTTAAAAAGCCAGGCCTCCATGTCAAATTACCATCAAATACAGGAAGAAAACAAGGTGATTGCTCACACAATACGAGCAAAGTTATTAATAACTTTAAACTGGAAATGTTTAGTCTGCCTCTTAAGTTACCTATGGCAATATCCACAGCCCCTAAACAACTCTTCCCTGTTTTGCAAATACACAGTAGCCACCCAGATACTAATGCTATCATGCTGGTCTATGGGACTGCTTGAAGACCAGCTAGTCAAAATTAAACATTTGAGAGCCTGAATATGTACTTATCCAGAAGACATGTACAAATTAGAAGACGGCAAGCAAACAGATCTCACCTGTTCAGGAAAGCATTTCCAAAGCGGCTGAGTTTACGGAATGGCTTCTTAGGATCAACAACCAGGGCATTTCCAGGAACATTTCCTTCTGCATCTCCATACATCACAGCAATAAAAGAATCTGTGGTAGGCTCTGGACCAATCCGCATGCCTGGAAAGTCTTGTTCGAGCAGGTATCTAGAGATGGAGAACACATGAAATAACAGAACGAATGACTGGAAACTATGGCAAAAGCAAGTATCTATAATTCACTTGAAAATTCCCAATCATATACAATATAATAATAATACAAATACATTTTTTCCTGCATTACATTATTCCTACTAACTAGGGAGAGAGAAAAAACAAAACAAAGGAAAACCAAAACAAAAAAAACCAACTGAGTTCCAGGTTTTCCACAATTACTAGGTAAAATGATAAAGTAAATCCCTTTACAAAAAAAAGGGTGAAAAGTATTCCCTCAACTGCAGCACCTGAACTATTCACGTGGATGATTCTACCAATAATCCCAGTGCTGTACATTACACTACAAGACATTGCTGCTTTTGTGTGTGCTTTCAAGCCTACACAAGTGCTGCTGGTACTAAAAGGGAGTAGTTTGAAACAACACATAAGCAGCATTAGCGTATTGACAGGTCTAACCCTTCTTAACAACTTTAACTCACCTAATCACCAGCAGCAGTATCACAGTTATGAGGCAATAGTAAAATATGTTTGGGAGTCAGGAAAGGATTTTTTTCCTTTTGACTCGCATATCGAAAAGGAATTGTTAACTAAGTCAGACTTGTAGAACTTGAGGCATAACTGTAACATACTGAGAGGCACCAGGCAGCGCTGTACCAACAGAAAACATCTTGCATCTCAGTTTGAATAGTCCTCTCAGCGATGTAGACAACACGCACTCAAAGGACCAAGTCTGATACACCAAGTCTGGACTTCCTGGGCAACAAGGTCTCAAACAAGGCATGTGCATGTTTAAATGCTAAAACTTAATGGAACTGGAGCATGTATTCACAGAAAGACACATGCTAAAACCAAAGTGTTTTCAAGAGTGCTGTAACGTGACATTACAGGAACATTAGAATTCTCCAATCAAGTCATCTTGTACTTATTAATTCCATGGGTTCCAAGTTACCCTGGAGCTCTTAAAATAAACCCACAGTTCTAACCAACAACAATTTAACTTTACATAATCAAAGCTGCATTTAAAGCAGAATTTTTCTATAGGCACAGGTGATGGTCCTACCTCCACCGACAGCACTCGTTAGGTTTGAGCACACCTATATTAACAACAGTCTTTGAATAACAGGTTTGTTCTGACTCTTAATCCAACAGCCCTATGCCTGTTCTGCTATCATTTCAGAATTCAATATTGATTTGAGAGGACTTGCAGGCTGCTTTTGCTGAGAAAACAAAACCAAACCAAAACACTTTACAAGGTGTCTGTACTTGCTGAACAATCTGTTTGTCTTTAAATTCAATACCAAACATTCACAGACTTTACAGATGAGTGCACAGAAGCTGAATTTAAGGAACTAAATGTACACTACACATTTCAAAGATCGTTTTCCACCACCCTTACCAAACTGGCTCAAATCAGCTCAGTCTATGATATGGGAGGCTCAAAGCACAGACGAGTTATTTACATGGTATTCCCAGCAGCTTTTTGCTTCCAAACAAACCAAGAAAAAATAATAAATAAATGCCAATGCTAAAATCTGTGGGAAAGAAGGAACAGAAGAACACTCCTGCCAGAACATGCCAAAGTCAATTTGGTTTACTCCTAGAATAAGCTATACCTAACGCACATGAACAGGAAAATAAAACTAGCCTCTCTCCAAAAGCAAAAACACTCCAATACAACACTCAAACCTCTCTGCACAGGAGGAGTGTACAATGCAGCAGATCCCTCATCTTATGAAGTTGATCATGTAACAAAATGAAGATAAAACTCCTCTGGTAGCATTTGAGCCCTTCACACATGGAAACCCCAGACTTTCAAGTGTCACAGAGAACAGCTGAACATCTGAAACACAAAAGCATGTTCCTGCCTCCTCACAGAAGACCACTGCAGACTAGAGCCCTCTAGAACAGGATGCAAAGGCTAACACACAAGAGCCACTACAATTTTCCAGACTGGACTTATCCACAGAATTGATTTTGAAAGATCAATTGCATTTTTCTCTTCTAAAGCAAGTTTTTTAATGTGCCGTAATAAAAGGTTCTACCTCAAAGTCTCTCAAATATGTTTTTCCTCATTGCCCCTCTTTTAAAAGAGAAAGGATCTCTATGTGACTCATAATTAAGTTCTTCTCTTGATACAGTTGTCATTCCCAGACTTCTGCTGACAGAGGCAGCAATCTGTAGAGTGGCAACGCATATGGCAAGAAGCTCCCAGAGCAGCAGTAAAGACCATCGTACTCCACCAAATGCACATGGCCAAAGTGCCATATCCCAGGTCAGAGAAAACTACATGATGGGATCTGAATACACGATAAGACACCTCCAGGGTAATAGGATAACTGCTATCCATTGTAAGTTCATGAACCTGGCAGGTACGGTTACGGACATTCAGTGGTGGTGGTCTTTTAGATAGCTAAGAAAATAATCTCATGGCCTCCTCATGAAGTTGCTGCACATGCAACACTTGCAGAATTTACAAGGAGTTGGAACTATGGAGCATCTCTCATGATTTGCAACATCTGTATTTTCAGCTTGGAACTCAGTAATGAAAATTCAGATTAACTCCTTATTGAAATGACTAAAGAAGAATAAGGTGCTACTGAACTGCAGTGATACTTGCGAGTTAATGTCAAAGCCAGCTGTAAAAAATCAGGCTTTTGTAGTGATAATGATCCAGGAAGGCAAGATCTCCTTCCAAATACCAAGTCCCACCCAACCATGTCACAGTGCTGAGCCTGGTACAGCCATTCAACAGACATAGGAAACACTTTGCAAGGCAGGTATTTTCCATCAAGACTGATTCATAGTTGCACACCAAGAATCATACTAAAATAAACTAGTACTTGAGCACTGGCTGTACGAGTGTGCTAGTTTTGGCTGGGATAGAATTAATTTTCATCACATTAGTTAGTATGCGGCTATGTTTTGGATTTGTGCTGGAAACAGTGTTGATAATAGAGATGTTTTTGTTATTGCTAAGCATCACCAACACAGAGTGAAGGCCTTTTCTGCTTCATCTCACCCCACCAGTGAGTAGGCCAGGGGTGCACAGAAAGCTGAGACACAGGGGGGGCAGCTGACTACAAGGGATTTTCCATACCATATGGTGTCATGCTCAGCAGATAAAGCTAGGGGAAGAAGGAAAGGGAGGTATGTTTAGAGTGATGGCGTTTGCCTTCCCAAGTAACCAGTATGTGTGATGGAACCTTGCTTTTCTGGAAGTAGCTGAACCAATGGGAAATGGTGAATTCCTTGTTTTGCTTTGCTTGTGCATGCAGCTTCTGCTTTACTTATTAAACTGCCTTTATCCCAACTCATAAGTTTCCCCTCTTTTACTTTTCCAATTCTCTCCCCATCCCACCCAGGCAGGGGAAGCAAGCAACCAGCTGTGCAGTACTTAGTTGCTGGCTGGGGTTAAGCCACAACGCTATCTCACATACAACTAAACAAAATCTAACCTTTTCTCTTGGTCACTTACATGAAAATTAAGCCATGACAACAAGCTATATCATACTTCCTCTCTGCATGAAAATATCTGTTTCACTTAGCTACACAAAAGGGATAAGCAGCCTTCTGTAAACTGAAAAGCTGCAAATATTGTTGTACAGTATGCTACATTAACACAGGAAAATACCTGGATTTTTAGCATCCGCAACTGCATGCCCTTCTCAGGAATTTACAGCAGAGAGGGAGTTCAAAAAGGTTCACAGGAAGAATGCTTAAAAATAGCAAACTCCCAAAGACAGTCTAGATCAAACAACAGACATCCTGTTGACTCTTCTCCCTTTGTTTTTACCTGGGCTATAACCTTTCTGCTTTGCCAATAAACATTCATCTATGTTCCTTTGCAAGACGTATAGCCAGGCTACGGGAAAATGGTTTACAAAGTTCCAGAGACAGCAAAGATTATTCACAATTGTGGATACTGATAATCATCTGAACCATAAATGCCTTGACATGAACAGAGATGAACTGGACAGAGCAGCATTGAGCATGGATACCCTGTGATGCACTGGGATACAAACTCAAGTCTCCTTTCATAAGGCTGCTCACCTCCACACTACATCCTGCACCAAGTCTTCCATACTTTCAAACAAAACCACAACAAAACCAGCAGATGACTGCTTTAGTTAAGAGCTCTGCTCCAAATACTTCAACTAAAACTTTCATGTAGAGCTAGTGCCAGGTTTCACCAGAAAAAAATTAAGATAGACCTTCTCCCCCGTGAAGAAATAGATGCTGCCCATTCCTGCAATTCAAGTGATTGCATGCTACTTGCAGACTCCAGATATTATGCATGCAAAAGGGTGCTTTCACAAAACCCAGCTCTGCTGAGTTAAATAGAAGGAAGTTTACCATTTTAGCCTCTGAGTAATACCTGCGAGCAAAGTAAAAGCATGGCCTGGCAAGGGAAGGAATTTACTTCTGGTTTCCCTCATCTTGACAAGTTCTTTTAAAAAAAAAGTCAGTCTCTTACACTTCTAAATCAGAAAACTTATAAACAAGATAAACATGATTAGACTACAAGAAAAAGGTCAACAACTGTAAACTTGCAGCTCCTATCTTTTTTTCATATACTACAACTCTCCTGTCCCTCCTTTCCCTGCTTCTTTTTCTAAAGCAGAAAGGAGAAATTGAGAGAATTACAGAAGCTGCAAGGACAAGAAGCTCATGTAAGATAGGCATTTGGCTCTCACCCGTTAAAAACTTTTGTATTAACATTTGGGCCTGGATATATTTATTTGAATTGTCAGCTTTGTCAGACACTTGACTAAAGCAGTATCACCATGTTACACCTTTGACAGTGAAACTGGCCTGTTTCACTGCATTGTTCCAAGCGCAAAGATATAAACAGCATCAAGTGAAAAACCGTAAGAGCTGTTGGAAACCTGGAAGTGTTTGTTTGCATCTCTTAATCCCCAAGGACATTCAGTCCTTGCTAGATTAGTGTTTTCCATGAAGACTTAATGGAAGGAACTGGGTGGATATGGATGTGTCAGAGGTATGAAAAGGTTGAGTTCTCATAATAAGGTCTAAATCAAAGTAAACCCCAAATGAATATATGTCCATTAAACAGAACTGTTATTTTCACACTTAGAAAACAGTAAACACTCAAACAGATCTAGCATGTCCTGCTGACTATGAAAAGGAGAAATGTAGAACAAAAATCAGTTTTAATTAAGATCTAACATAATGCTTGCTTGCTAAAATGCTAGTGGGTGAAAAACACTATAGCTGAACTTCATTCTAAGAAAAACTATCTATAATAAGCCTGGAATTATAACCATCTTGAGCGTATATGACATTTTCCCATGGGAAATTCAGCCTATCAGAGGGGATATTTATTTGTGACTGACCTGGACACTAATATTTTCCCATGTAGTTCTCTAAGCCTTGCCTTTAGCATACAAGCACTTCTCTTTTTTGTTTTTCTTTTTCTCCTCTGAAATGGATTTTGAGTAACAGCCACTGTGACACTATTGTCTAAGCTGCTGCCCATCTTGAATGGAGCATTTTCTCATGCTTATTCAGACAATTATTATCTATTCTATAGCAAACACTGATGTAATGCATGTTCATCATGGTGAGGTCAGACTGTGGTCCTTTAGAAGCAGTAACAGCTGCTGTTACTGGCTGGGGCTGTACAGACAATGCCTGTCTTCTCCAATACCTAGTAAAGGGTTAAAACATTCTGCAATCTACCTAAAAAGGGGACAGGAGAAAGGGGCAAGTGGGTGAAGAGAAGGGCATATCACAGTAAACTCATCTCCACCATTGAGTGAGATATTTTAATAAAATGTGTAAGAAAACATCTTTGAAACTTTGTCAAATTTGTCTGGGCATCTTCATCCAGCAGTGACCAATACTAAAAAGAGCTGAAAATAGCTATAATAAACGACACTTCATTCAGACTGTATGTTTGTATCAGCCAGCCCTATTGCTCAGTATTTTACGGTTGCAGTGATAACAAGTTACTCACAAAGCAGAAGTACCAAAACTACATCTAAGGCAATGTAAGGAGTATTAGCGTTTCTAAGTGCCATATTGGCTTGCACTCTAGTAAAATACGGACAGCTATAAAGGACAGAAAAGTTGACCATACATAAGTCAACAAAGTGTGCTCTCATCCAAGGCAAACTCTTGGGGGAAAGGAGGGGGCAAAAGTTTCCTCTTAATTGTAAATGACACAGCAACTCAGCTGACAGGCAGAACAGGTTCTGGTACATACGCATTTGGGACCATTCTGTCTCTGTATTAGCCACGCTCTCACCACCCCCTGTCCATGAGCCTGGTAACAATGTGTATCTGGAAAGATATACAGACTGAAAGGGCAACTGTCATTTCAAAGAAAATCAATCTGCATGAATAGAGAAATGCTGGTAAGCCCCAAATCACCTCCCTGCAAACACACACCTTCTTGTGACTACCTTCTGCCTTTTGGGATCCTGAAACTAAGTTTATCTTCTTTTTATTACAGCCCTATTTCTAATTTTACAATACTTCTCTGAACAAAACCACTTGCAGCGTTTGCAGGAACTTAGTACTAATCGCTAAAGAACCATGTTCAACTTTATGCTTCCAATTAGCTCGTTTTATAACAAGAAAAGAAACATGATTAGCTCTGCAAACGTCTGAAAAGCTCTCAGGTGAGTAAAAGCAAGCATAGCTCTTCAGTGGAGAAGGGAGGTAGATCCGCACTGTGATAACAGTGTTAAGCAAGGCTGGCTGTAACCTTTGGAACCAAAAGAGAAACATCTGTAAAATGTACAGAAGGGCTATAATGAACTTTGGATGTAAGTATGTCAAAATTTGATCCAAGTGACCGAGCAGCATCTTTTGCAGTTCTGTATAACCTCAGACTGATTTGTAAGAGGTATAAGAAAAGCACACTCAAATTATGCAAAATATTCACACGCAATGCCTTCAGCCTCCTAACACCAGTCACCAACAAACTTAGCGTTAACGGAGACAGGAAAGACAACAAATACTAAAACAGCAGCAATATAGTTAAGCTGCCTTATTAGTAATAGTGCTTGTTCAATGCGACTGATCAAAAGCTGGGGGGGGGGGGTTATCCAGATATCATGCGGGTTTTGCCCAGAACTGTCGTTTTGTTTCTCTGTTATCTTCACATCCAATCTATGCATTAAACTACTTTTGGGAACGGAGGGGGAGGAAGGAGATACGGTTAAATGGTCTGCAATAGCCGGTGTAATCACGCCGTTTTAACGCGAAGTGCCTATGCTTCCTTCAAAATAATTTAGAGATTAAGAACTGAAGCTATGAGGAAGTAGACAACGAGGTTACACTTCTCAGCAGAGGACGAAATCGAGACCCTATTCTTAAGCAGGAAGCTGACATGTAACAGAGCGGAGAGCAGCACGCATCTTCTACACGGCACGGGGGACTCTCGGACCGGCCATCAGCCCCAGTGCTGTGCTCCGTTCCCCGGGACGGCTCGCTGCTGGCACGCAGGAGGCATTTATCGCGCAGCAGGAACGCCCTGGGCAGGAGCGGAGCGAGCACTGCGGCGGGGCGAGGCTGACAGGGCACGGGCAGGCACCCCCGAGCGGGGCCTCGGGGAAGGAACCGCGCACCGGGGGAGTCGCCTACCGTATGAAGGTGGTCTTGCCGGTGCTGTACTGCCCCACCAGCAGCACCATGGGCTTGTTCTCGAAGTCGGCCTCCTCCAGGGCGGGCGAGTGGAAGTCATGGAAGCGGTAGTGCTCCTCCAGCGGCAGCAGCTTACGGAGGTAGAGGTCCCGCAGCCCACCAGTCACCGTCTGCACCACGTCGGTGCCGCCGCGCTCCCGCCCGCCGCCCTGCTTCCCCAGCCAGCTGAACATCCCGACAGCGTCCCGCCGCTCGGCCGACAACCAGCGCTCCGCTCCGCACCGCGCCGCACACAACCACCGGCGGGGGAGGCAAGCCCAGCCCACACCCGGCCCCGGGAGGGGCGGTGCTAGTGCCAGCGACACGGCCGGCTCAGCGGCGGGGCGGGCAGCGCACCTCGCCTCTGTATCGGGGCTGGGGTGTGCGTGTGCTTTGTTTTTTGTTTGCTGTTATGTCTTTAGTCACAGACTCGCCTCTGGAAGTTAACTGTACCCGCTGTTAGAGTGCCAGCCCCTGGAATGAAATCCGGAAAAGCCCTTCAACAGCTCCGGTCTGAACACGGAATCGCCCAAATGCTTTTCATGTTTTACTGATGATGACTGCTCGCTTCGGATGCCTAAGAAGTGTGTGACTAAGCGCCGTGGTGGTTAGCCTCGACGTTAGGCGACTAAGGAAAATTCTTAGTATAACACTGAATTTTCGCTGTGTATAGCAGACACAGTCATTAGTTTTAACCTTACACCTTCCTCTTGTGTTAAGGGACGGGGGAGGATCACATTTTCCATTGATTTTTCCAAGAGATTTTAATAGGGTATGATGCCATAATCACTGAAGCGTTGAAGTAAAAAATATTATATAATATTATATTTCTCTGAGATAAGTTTTTCTGTGCTCACTCCTTGCTTGGAAAGCAAAAGACTCCCAGTTAAAAAGAATAAAAGAAAGGAAAATAAAATAAAATAAAATAAAATAAAATAAAATAAAATAAAATAAAATAAAATAAAATAAAATAAAATAAACCTTAAAAGGAGAAGGGGAATTTTTTGCTGAATCTGTGCTTACACATTATGCATGTCTCTTTTGCATCAGATTTATGGTCTTGGCTTCTTTGCAACACCCTTATCATGAAAATCCCCTTTTGCTGGTCCAGCACATCTGCCAAGTCACATTTTTAGCTATGTACCTTTCTTCCTCCTAATTTCCATCTGGAATACTACATTTTCTCTATATGCTCTAGCTCTTTTCCAAATACATCAGCAAGTTTAGATATGCCCTTTCCATTTCCCTCCTTCCCATGCTGTTCCTCAAAGAACAGATGTTAGGCTCTAATAATGCTCAGTCCTAAGAATTTAACCACTCTGCCTTTTCTTGGTTCCTTGCTTCACGTTTTATTTAGGGCTGTGCGCGTGTTTTGCAACTCTTTTGTTGCAATTTCCATGCTGAGTCTAAAGATTTTATAGTATTTCATGTGGGGTCTTGCTGACCAGCTTCCTCATTTTACAAGCGCATGTAGTGACAGGACAAGGGGGAATGGTCTTAAACTGAAAGAGGGGAGATGTAGATTGGACATTAGGAAGCAATTATTTCCTGTGAGGCACTGGCACTGGTTGCCCGGAGAACTTGTGTCTACCCCACCCCTGGCAGTGTTCAAGGCCAAGTTGGATGGGATGAGCTTTAAGGTCCCTTCCAACCCAAACCATTCCATGATTCTTTTAAAACCCTCTTTTCACAGTTTGCTTTTGTTTCTTCTCATTTTAATTACTTTTCCCCATAGGTTAATCTGTAGTAATTAAGTTATCATTGCAGTTATTTACATCTTCTGCATGTTGCTTCAATAAATTGTTTTAAGTGAGTCCTTTAGGAGTTCTGACTGCTCTTGATGATTTCTCATATGCAAAAATATCTGAGCTGTGGAAAACCTAAGTACTGCAGTCTGGGGTGAGTGCTTTCCCACTGTCTTTGGCGCATCCACTATTTGGTGACTGGAGAACATCACAGAAAGAGGGCAGGTACAACACTGTCTCAGACTGTCCTCCCAGCCTCTGGGGATTGATGATTCAGTGCAGGGCTGAGTCAGATGCAGAGCCTTTGTATGCTTTAGTCCTTAAAGAAGAGACGTGCACAGTCACTCCAGGTTTCATAGATACCTCTTTTCTCTGCCTTTCAATCCTGTTATCCTTCTCTTAGGTTGCAGATTCCTTATCTATTTGCCCCTCAAGTGGAAGCTGTTCCACCTCTTTGATCAGCACTGACATTTTCTTCTGAATGCAGAGAACTCAGAGGTACTGAATCATTATTTCATGTAAAGTTTTTTTGCGATGGGGTAAAGTGTTCATTGTTCTCTGTGACCCCTTCGTGGCTGCTGGAAAGCTGCAGGAAGGGCAGGGAAGTGTTTGCACTCACGCACCTCATTCTGCTTGTCTTCAGACTTCCTGCCTAGATGCTTCCTGCTGTCAGTGAGAGGATTTTTGCCCTTCAGACAGTAAAGCTCTAACTGTATATAGGAACCTGGGAGTGTTTCCAAATTCCCAGGTCTGGTTATGGTCTCTGGCTACGGCCTCTGGCTACATCCCATCCCATATTGCAATGAGATCCAGCATGCATCAGCATGACTGCCTGCTCTCTTTGCTCTCGTTTCTTTCATGGGAGGTAAACCCTGGGCATGGAGCCCATACAGGAGCTGTATGTGCTCCTGTAGTGTGCACCACAAGTAAGCGTTCACTGACCTAGGTGGCAAACAGAAGAACTGTGTTTCTGTGCACTGCCAAGGATGCAAACTTAAAGCTTTAAACCTTTGGTACCTATCAATAACATTTAAATCCATATAATAAAATACATTAGCCTGAGTTGGTTCTTGTAGAGGTGGGTCTTAAATGTAATCCTAAACTCAAGGAGTCCCAGGAATCTGGGGCAGTTCACATCTAGGTCTGGAGCAGGTATAATTTCATCTTCGATAGTTTTTCAGCAGCTGTGAGATAAATTTGTTTGTTATCTCAGTAATAGAGGAAGAAGTACCTAAAAGAAATGGCTTTAACATGTATTTGCTGTGAAAAATGTTTATTTGCTGTAACTCAAAAACCTGTGGTATTTATAAACTTTAATATTTATTTACAATCGCATAAAGACTCCTTAGTTCACAAAATGGGCTTCTTGGTTTTGTTCTAGAAACAATGGATTTTGTTCTCTGCTGCATTTCTGGCCTGGCAATCCTCTCTTTTTATAGCGCACAAACACAGTCAATGTAAACTTCCTCATGCTTCCTTGTCCACACATCTTGGCCTTGGCCTGAAAGGTCACTTCTTCAAGAATGTGTGGAGCATGGCCTCACCTAGCTGTGCTCCTGTCGTTGTCAATGAGGGAAGCACATTAACTCGTTAAGGAAGAGCTCTGGTTTTTGTGTTTATTTCCTTCACTGACGGACAGGCATGGCAAACAAAATGCTATTCTTAGCATTCTTTGGCTTTTCTTCACTTCCTAATCAAATTCTTTTTTGTCTTCATTAACAGGACTCATAGATATTTTATTTCATATTCCCCAGTGCTGGGCAGTCAGCCAAATGCTGGGTTCCCTCTTTGTCAGGCCCATACACACCATCCCCATCGGGTGTTTTTTGCAGTGGTTGCTCTTCCTTATGCTGCTTTTTCCTCTCTACGGCAGTACGCAAGGCCTGAAGTATCAAATCTTTATTGTTCTGGATGTTGTAATAACTTAGGTTTACTAGTTTGTCAAAATTTTCCTCTGAATAACTCAAATTGTTTATGTAATATGGACCACAGGAATCGGCAACATCAACATCACCCTCTGCCATCTCCGAGGGACTACGTTTCACACCTAAAGGACAAAACAATTGCTTGGTTAATTAGCAAAAAGCAATTAGGATTGGGGTATTTCTCGAGCATGTCCATGGAATGGATCACAAATCAAATTTTTCCCTTCACAGGCATTTTATTGCTGGGATATTTGGTTGGCAGGAGGGGGAGGTAGTGGTATTGCGGGTAAGGGTTGTCCTGGGTACACTTGGAAATGCCAAAACAGGTAGAGTAGGTCTTCTTTTGAGCACAGGAGGGTGAGAATCCTTACATCCCGCTCTAGGTGTGGAGTGAGCTCAGCATGGTCCCCAGGTCTCCCCCAGTACTAACACCTTCCCAGCCCCAGCCTCTCTCCTTGCTGCTGTCTTCCAGCCATTGCAGCACCCTCCATTTCTACATAAGGTTTAAGTAAATGGCAATGACTCTTTTTCTCTTTCCTTCCCTTCTCCCAGGCACATAACAGCAACAAGAACTCATGACAGCGTGGCTTCTCTCCAGGTGAGGGTCAGGAAGCCACTGCCACTTTCTATGCCTTCCAGCTTCGACTCTACATCATGTTATTTCCCTCACTACTATCCTTTCATGCCTCCAGAAACAGGCTGCTGAAAATCCATGTATTTCAGCGATGCAAGCTTTCCAGAAGCACACTGACCTTCTTAGCAACCTGACAGGTACTCTTTCACCCAGCACAACCTAGCACTTGCCTCTAGCTCAATCAGCTACATCAAGTCTTGGTTCCTACTGGGAAGAATTACCAAAAAACACAGAAAAAAGATCTGAACAACTAGATTCTATTATCTAAACTGAGAGACTTCACAGAGTCGTTATTTGGACATATCCTGGAAGCAGATGGCACAAACATTTACGATAATTTCCCCAGACTACCTCCTACTATAAAAAACTACAGGCTTTATGCAACCTCAGCAGTGAGAGCGAACCTGATATTCCCTGAATCACTAAGTTTTGGCAGGAACACTGAAAGAACTTTTTGTGCCTATTTCATCATCCCAGGATAATTAACAGATATATCACGGACCCAGGTAAAATAATTAGACAGGTAGTCCCACAAGGTCCTCCCCCAAAGGATGGAGAAGAGAATCAGAAGAGTGAAAGTGAGAAAACCCATGGGTTGAGGCAAAGACAGGTTCATGAGACAGAAAGACAATAATAATAATAATGGTGGTAATAATAATACTGATAATAATAGTAAAAGAATTAGAATAGGCAAAACAAGTGATGCACAGTGCAACTGCTCAGCACCCACTGACCAATGCCCAGCCAGTTCCCAAACAGCAGCCCCTGGCCAGCTTGCCCCTTAGTTTACGTACTGAGTATACTGCCATATGGGATGGAGTATTCCTTTGGTCAGCTTGGATCAGTTGTCTTGGCTTTGTCCCCTCCCAGCTTTGCTGGCGGGGCATAAGAATCTGAAAACCCCTTGACTTAGTATAAACACTACACAGCAACAACTAAAAGCGTCAGTATGCT